TTAACTTCAATCATGTTGCCCAGGATACAGCCATGGTGATTTTTGCTTCTCTGCAGGTGAGTTTCCGTTTGCCAAATGCTTTATCTGCCAAGAGATGGGTCATTTGTCCAGGAGTTGTCCAGACAATCCACGTGGTCTCTACCCATTAGGAGGAGGTTGTAAGCATTGTGGGTCAGTAGAACATAGGAAACAACACTGCCCTCATAGCGTAGATGCACAGAAAGGTAAGACAAATGTTGTATTCAATCAAAGCTAGATTCAGATTGCTTCAACTGACTGATTATAAAACTGCAAAATACTAGTTAGTGAAAATGTTTTTATACAGCCGCAAAAGTGGAAAAAGGCATGAAATTATATTTTAGAAAAGATTTTTCTCTACGTGTTTATAGTCTTATTATTACTTAAGCAAATGAAACATTGCAAATGCCTGGAAGTGTGTCGAATTTATTTTTGAAAAAAGAATTAAAACATTCCTGAACATTTTGCTCAGTTTGGGTTCACTGGTTGGTTAGATGACATTGTCCTTGATTCCAAAGCACTGAGTCAGTTTCGCTACAGGCAATGTCAAATAAAACTATTGTTGATTAGATAAATTTACTTTGGTGTAGTTCATTATTTAGTTCTTTTCCTGCTTTTATTCTCACTTCAGACACAGCCAACACCACATTACCCACCCTCAGAGGTACTCAGGGCTGGAGTGCTGATGCTGTGATCGATGAAATTAAACCAAGACAAGCGTTTGAAAGACAAGAAGCCAAACAAACTCCCAAAGTCATCAAATTTTAAAACCAATGATAGATAATAGGACGGTTATTGGAGAAGGCGCTGTTGTAGCAGACATCAGGACTTTATCATCAGGTTTCATACGAATCCCTGCTTCTCAAAGGGATACTCAGACTCTAATGCTAATGGTCATTTGTTTGTGTGGGCCTACAAGAATGGTGTGTCCAACCAAGTCAAAGGTCTTTGACGTTTGAAAACACTGTTCTTCCTTCATTGTTGGGTCTATGAGCATCCTGCAAATGTCATCATTCATGTTTTTTTATACATGCACTCTGTGCATTTTTCTAAGGTTTTTATTTGTTACAACATACTGTAAACCACATGAAGTTTGACCTTTAGGCTATGATTTGTGGTCTAACCAACCATATCAATATACATGTACCTCCTAAAGACATGCCATTGTGCTTTATTTACACATGCACTTTTCTGTGACAGCCAAGCCGGGATGACCACCAACTTCCCATAAGAAAGTGCATGTGAACAAAATGCAACAACATTATTTCTGAGGTCTATTTAATTCAATTTAGGTACATGTCCTGAGAAGTCATGGTCTGCTGTTGGTTAAAAAACAAAGCAACTGTAATACATGGGCTTTGAGAAACGCACAGTGAATGGATAGAGCAAAAGTACAGAGTTAAACAGTCAGTTTGCAGTCAATAATGTGTATACATATACATGCACGCCTAATGAAACGCAAATCAATACATGGTCAATAGTAGTGGATTTGTTTCATTTGAAATGTGCATGGTACTTCAGTGGAAGTAGGAGGGGCCACATGGTGTTGTGGGGGCAGGATATTCACAGGTCCTTATTGAAAAGTGGCAGTTTCTACTAAACTCCAAAGCAAACGACTAGCTCAACATCTCTACTTGCGCTTGTCTCCAATTTTCAGAGAGAATGAGAAAAAAAGGTACTTACAAGTCACAGTTACACTGTGTTGTTGCCCACTACATCGTCTTCAAAGGAAAAATGCACTACTCTGTCAGCTTCAGTTGAAGCAAACACACCCAGCCAAACCACTCTGCTATGTAAACCTAGGGACATGTAGTAGAAATAATAAACAGGGCAGTAAGCACTGTCTGTTATCTAGCCTTGGTATTTGTATTTACTCACAACAGCAAAAAGGAACATGAAACCTTAAAATGGCAATAAAATGTCCTGACACCATTGATAACTGTTGGCAATATCTTTGTCACATGGTTAAGCCAGACAGTGTAACTTCCTGGAAAGCTAAGAATAAACTCTGGACTTTCCCCTCACGGTATATTGTTAATGGCATCCAACATTAACCATGCAGTAGCACAGTGAACTAGGTATTCAGGGCAGTCGTGCAAATATTTGCCTTGCATTAGGTCCAGTTGTATTGCTGGTTAAGATTTAACTTATTCTCAAAATTTTTATGGCCGTCAAATAAATCAGATTGTTTTAGGCATGCTGAGCTTATGACACCCGAAGTATAACCCTAAAAGAGCCAGGGAGGGAAGAATCTGCCCCCCCTTAACATTTTCTCCAATCTCGATGCAGTGCATTTTTTCATGCACTCATTTTTCAGGACTTTTTCAAGTAACATCTTACAATCACTTTGACACGAGCATCATGCCATTCTCGAGCAGCATGCACTTTGGTCAGCTAAAAATCCAGACTTTTTCCACTTTGTACTCGGTGCAAGCTGGCTGACACGCTTGAGGTCACAAACATTATATAACCATAACATCAAAATCCTGTCCTATTAAATTGAAACTGTTCATCTGTTCTGATAATTGGTGTCTTTACATGCATGCTACGTATTTAGGAGGGGAGTAGAATCCCCCCACCCCTGGCTATAAAAAGGTCCAACATACACGTTACCTGCTTCTTTACATTCTGTTGTATTGTTGCAGCACATTATTTCAGCTATTTTACACAAGACTGGGGCACGTATAGGTCCTTGCTCTATTGTATTACGCACCAGTGTTGAATTAACCTTGACATGCACACCAAAGTTAACTTGTGATCATGTATGTGATTCTGTCGTATGTCACTTGTGCCATCATTTCCAGCAAATCTGCTTCCAGTGTTGTGTTGGATGACACAGTTTTTGTCTTCATCTCTTCTATTTTAGTTATACTTGATAAATTCATTTCCATGGTGACAACTGGCCGAAGTATGTTAATACTGAAATATTTACAAATTTATTGAAAGCATTTTTCAACAATACAAAAGAACTACATGTATCCTTGCTGAAGAGCACACTACACTTCAACTCTCATTTCCATTAAACTATGATAAAAAAGAAAACAGACACAGACATAGATAAGTGATGCAAAACTAAATTCAGAAGAAAAGTTTTGGAATATCTGAAAACAGGATTAACAATCCAATTATTTGGCAAGTAAAATAAATCAATTCTACAACAAACTGTCAGGTTTAATGAGAATGTTTAACAATTGTGATTCTGAACAAGGCAAGTTGCAATGAAGGGGGCTGACAAGGACATTAAAAAGAACAAAGTTTACTTTTTCCGGACACAGAAGCATTTCTTAAACATAACTGCATAAACTGTAAAATATTACATCAAAATATGAGATGTGGAGTGACGTAGGACTGAGAATGGATTTACCACAGAAACTATGGACAAAACCAAATAATTACAAACCACAAACACAAGAAGTAATCTACAACCATTTTAGACCTTTTTACACCAAACCTCTATATGAATATGTAAAATATATATGCCATCAATTTCTACACTCTTATCAACATTGGTATAGAGCTTGCATAGTGGTTAGAAGGATAGATTTCTTCAAGCAGAACTTACGAAGTATGAATTGTCTTTTATAAAATCTTTGCAAAATTTTTTATATGATGCTGTATTCTAAGCTGCTAATTCATTTATTTTTTCCTACCAACAGAGACTCCATTTCCTCTTAATTCTAGGCAATGCTCAGAACAATGTGACACAAACTGAACCTCCAAACAGAATGGTTGCTGCTAGTTTATAAACAGTGATTAATATTTGGGAAATGCCACAGCTAAAACCCCTCCATCGTTCAGCAGGCAATAAATGTTTTGAAATGCTTTTGCTGCGTAAATGGCCGATTACAGAAAAATTTCCTCAGAGCTAGTCTTTTAAGCTTCTTACAGCAAACTGTCCTCAGCATTAATATGTACATTCTCCTTATAGCTTCTCATCGTTTTCCTCCACAAATTCCTTCTTGATATGCAGCGAATGAGAACAGTTCTCAGAATAAAAGTACAAAACTACAATTGATCATATTTAAAAGTTTCAATGAAATACAAACATTCTTCTAGAGAGATATACTTTAATTATAATTTTTGTACATGTATGATCTTTTATCTTGCAATGGACTAAGAGAGCAGGAAATCCTATAAAAAATGAACTGTTGCTACTGTCTTCTTCAAACACAACTTTAAAGACTTGATTTCAAGCTTTCATAAAAAAGCACAAAATTGTAGTATATTAGAGTACCTTTTTTGAAATTTCATAATTTCATATTGTTTTAGGAAACAGTGTCCGCTTACCACAAGCTTTGTCCATACAAGTTTATTTCAATAACACTTGTTCCTGCAAGAGTGATTTATCACCATGGACAGAACACTGACTGTGGCTAAATCTTAAAAGTCTGTGTCTTATCACAAGATTATCATTTTCAAAACCATTTCTTCTTCCCTCTTCTTTGATCCAGTATCCTTATTGTCGTAATGTATGCCACTTTTATTTTAACCAAATAAGTTATATATCAAAGCCAAAGTGGTTCAGTGACAAGTATATACATGTGCATGTATACACATATGAACATGAAATAAAGACAATTTCCTGGTAAGTCATTCCCATAAAACACTTCTCTGACGGGCAGTGTCAATACAAATCAACTGTTGACAACAACTGAGCATACTTCAAAGTTGAAAATATCATTTATCTGATCTCCCAACGCACAAGGAAGCCAAACAAGAAACAAAACGTACATAGCACAGAGTTTACTGGCAATATGGTAAAATTACAGACATGTTTGTATAGCACCTGAACCAATGGTGTATCCGTTTGGAGCAGGGGGATTGACAGTTAGCTGAATTAATGATTGTCCAATTATCTTTTCATTTTAAAAGAATCCTCACCCTCCCTCGAAAGGTGAATCTGACATTTCTAATATGTTGCTGTTTTCAATTCCTGAGAATAAATGGGGGTCGAGATGTCTAGGGATGGGGGTTTCCCCTCCCTTGCTGCACGTTACTGATTTCAACCCTACAACGTACATCCCATACACCTAGCTTCAGGCGTTCATGAAAATGTTACATCATAGTGTTTTTCAGTTAAAACTGAACATTTACCGATACAAGGAAATGTTGCATGCCTGCAAGTGAGGCTTACTGCAGACAACCAAGTGATTGAAATCCTCAGCACAGCAATGACAAATATTTCTTGATTTCTTTTCCCATTTTTGTTGTGAAGAGATGAAATGTTCCATCTTTGAAACAATCAATGTGTTCTGTTGTCATCTGTTTCACCAAAACTTGTGAACAACAAAATGCCTATCTTTGCCTTCTGTTTTGTGCAATCCAAGTCAAAGAATTCATAAATACCTGATGCCTTGCAATGTTTCCAAGATGATAATGTTCTTTTTTGGAAAAATAAACAAAGAAATTGTTTGTACTAAAGAGCCAGAAATAGTGACTTGAAGTTAGCCAAAATCCAACATTCTTCCATCAGCTGTTAATTTTATGATGAAATATGTATTTTTATTTCTATAAGTATGTAAACAGCCAAGAAAGAAAAGCATTTTTTAGAGGCTGATTTTGGAAGCCATAAAATGAATATTAAAATTTACAAGCTACAAAAATAGGCACAATTTGCAAACAATCTATCAACATTCAATTGTGGAGACTGACAGCAATGTACATGTAATTGTAAGTTCTATTACAAAAAGGTAAACTATGGTTTATTTTTATGCACGGACTAATTATCAAAGCCTGATCGTCCAGGGGATTCCCCCAAAAGCAAAACAAAGCAAGATGTAATCAGCTTTATTCTTCTACAGTTACCACTGTACTGTGTTCCTTAGAGGTCAACTCAGTGCGTTGTGGAAACTTTTTCAACATCATAAGGAAGCACTAGACAATTGAAAGCATTCTGCCCATCAAATCATTCCTTATTTACTCTGTGTATGCTTGGTCTTACAAATACTATGCACAATAAACACTCAGTGGGTAGGTATACAAAATGTAAGAGCTTTGACTGAATTCAGTCTGTACAGCATGTGTAGGTAGACAGGATGGAAGAGCTCATTATTTTCCATTATACAATGCCAACCCTCCAGTGACCTTTGTCGTGCTTTTTTGAACCTGTACTAACAGAAATCTACATACATGTACATGTCCAGTCATTATCTTAAGCTGTGTGTTCACGTGGGTTCAGAGTAACTTTTTCTTTGGTAGAACTTTGAAGTCAGATCTGTTAAGATGCATCACTGGAGATAGGATTGGTTTGTTAGTTATAATGTTTGCCTGCAGCTGTAGCATTCAGGACTGGGTGTTGTAAATAAACATTGCTCCCACCAGATATGATAGGGAGATTGTTGTTACGATGATAATTGATTAAGTGGCTTACACTCTCAAACTCTCGGTCTTTTGTTCTGACCTACATCAAAGACAAAACCAAAATATCACATTATTAGTAACATGCATCTTATCTTGATGTAAAGAGATTTGAACTGTCTCATGATAAGCTGTGTTCTTCAACAAACTTCAATGATGCTAACTTACCTTCCCTTGAGGATCCACCAATAGTAAATGTTTCGGTTGACCACTCAGCATTCCACTCAATACATACTGTCCTGGAGTGGTTGTACTTTCTCGCACTAAGAAATCACCATCTTCTTCCAGTAATGCTTCACCAATCTTACGAGTCATTGGACCGTGAAACCACTCTTCATCAAGAATGGACTTCTTGGGCTGTATGGGAGTGACATTAGCTGGCTGGTTGTTGCGTTGTGGTAACCCAACTATGGGAGAACCACTTCGGGGTGGGGTTCCTGATGTAGGTGGGGGAGGTGGTTTGTGAGTTGGAGGAGGGGGTATCCGTGGTTTTGCAAGGGACTGTGCTGGGGGTGTGGCTTGCTGAACAGGAGGGGATTTTCTTGGTTGGGGAACAGGAGGCTGGGCAGAGTTAGTGAATTGTGGAGGGGGCGGTACTGACACTGGTTCACGGGGGAATGACGCAGCAGGATTGAATGGTTCTAGAAATAAATCAGGAAAAAAACAAGAATGCAATCAATAAGCCATTGCATACTTATTAATTCAAGACTGTCTGTCATGGCATACATGTCCATTGTTCAACCTCTTACCCATATCAAAGGCGTCTACAACTGGTGATGGTTGATTCTGACCATTGTGTGAAATGCCAAGGTCAAGTGGCTGGTTAGGAGTAGGGATGTTGTATACCCCGTCTTGAGAGTCCATGTCAGATGGTACTAATGGCATCTTAGGATTATCATAGTTAGCTGTGTCAAATCTTGGCTCATCATAAATGGTGTTGCCACCTGTAAGAAAACCACATTTTTATGGTCAAACTTTTATAACGAATTTGAAACGCTGTTTCCTACAAGACATTAAAAATGAGCATTGCTAATGCATGCTGTCAAGTTGAATACCTAGTCATGACACCAAACCTAGAACTAAGAATTCAAAACTTATCAACCCAAATTGTAGGCCTTTGGATGGATTCCATTCCAAAATTAAGACATGACTTGAGCAGCTTTTCTTGATTTACTCTCCTACCGGTACTTATAAAACTCCTTTCAAATTTGTAAATTTCTGACAAAAACATTGTACAATTCTGTTGTATTTAAATCTGAGCACAGGAAAAGAAGTACAGGACTTGTTTTTTCTGTGACACAGTGGTACATGTATGTTCAAAGAATGTCACTAGCAATCATGCATTCTAGTAATACATGCCTTACCAGCATTCTTTGATGGTTTATGCAGTTATTTACCCACAATTAACTTGTTATAACTACTAAATAGGCTTAACTTCTGTGAAACACTAAGCAGGCTTTCTTTAATTTTGGAATGAAAGGTTTAATATGTTTGCAACGTTATAACAGGAAAATTGACAATTTCATTTCATGCACAGACAAGCATACAAAACTCACTGTTCGTCTGAAAATCCTGCAATTCAAATAAAATGCAACTTTGTTAGTTTGCGTAGGAAAGAAAGGGATGAAAAGGTGTTGTTATGGGGGTCCAGAAAAAAGTTTGCAGATCATGCATATGCAAATAAAAAAATTGACATGGCCAATCCACAGTCAAAATGTAAAGTTTGTATCATTTCCTATATGGGAATGGAGGTGCACGTAGCATGTTTATGTCTTGCATATTTAACAGTAAATCATGCATATGAATATTAGATGACACGATACATCCTGCTGGGTAAATTACATTCAGCAACTCATGCATATGCAAATGAGCCTCAATGCAGCCAAGCTGGAGAGAGAGACAAGTGACCTTTGTGGGGTTTTGATTTGCTGCTCTTTCTGCTTCGGTTCCAAGGAATTCTCAAGTTGTCGTAGCCTGCTTCCAAGATTCCTCGCCAGTCAGGGCTATTGCTCTTGAGCTTGGTAATCTCATTAACTTTCTTATTTGGCAGATTCTGAGGGGGGTTGTCATAGAACAGTGGGGTACAACGCTTGAAGTGCTTGACTTGGGATGCCTTTTTATCACAGACTGATTGGACAGTTGTGATTTCTGAGCTGGCTTGGCCTGTGTGGTTGTCTTGACTGTGAACCCTGCGGACTACAGCGTGGAATGGTGTGATTAGGGTTGGTGGTAGGATGAAGAGAGAAAGAAGAGAGAAAGAAGATTGTGTTGATGGAGGCAAGCTATTAATCTATCAAAATCAGAAGCTGAATAGAGATGTGTTACATAAAACAGATGCACATTATCACAACTACATACTGAAAGATATTAAGATCTTAAATTTCACACTTTTTCGGTTTGAAAAGCAACTGAAAGATGAAGTGAGCTACAGAGCAAACAAAGGAGGCACCTGAGTGAACCACTGCTTGTTGTACTGTATGTAGGTTCTGATATGAAATTGAAGTGAAATCTTCATAAAACTAAACGGTACACTTTGCAATTTTGGTTACTTGACCTTACTTCGAAATGATTCAAGTCAAAATTAATGAAGTTTTCAGCTACTTTATGTCTTGTCTTTGCCAAACCTCAAGGCCAAACACTGTTTTACATGTATTTGGTTAACATCAACACCAGAGAAAGGTATCTTTTAAAGTAGGGAAAGAAAGATAAATCTTAAGATTGTTGCACATGAAGGATTTGGGTTACGAATGATGCCAGCTGGTCTATGATGCTATTTCTTTGGAGCTTTCTACCTTCATTCCAGTTGCCTACCTTACAAACGGCAAAGACTACCAGTAAGTCAACACAAAACCCTGTGCATACTGTGAGGAATTCCTTCAGAGAAGGGTTGTGTGATTAGTACAATTGCCTTCTGGATTCACACGAGTGAATACGCTAAGGTCATGAGATCCTCTTTTTATTGGCCATCAGTAGAATCTGGTTCTACATACCTTGATTACTGAGAGGATTATCCAGTACTGGTGCTTGTGGTGTATCATCAATATCCAGCAGCTTACCCACGGCTGGTTGTCGCTCGTTGTTGTACTGTTCCCTACCTTCAAACCCACCCTCGCGATTGTCGTAAACTGGGGGAGCTGAGGGCTTGGCTGCACCCAGAGGTTGGTAGGGGTGATTATCCTGAGGACATAACAAGGTCACCACATGCTGTAAGTTTCTCTTGGAATATTTGACAATACTACATACATGTATGTTCTCTGTTAGGTTCATTCTTTTATGTCCTGTGATTAGCATAATAAGTCAACACTACATGCAATTGACATGACAGGCTGAATAACCTTTCAACTACTCACTGTGATGCAATTCTGTGTCATTTCCATAAATTTTTTTTGGTTTTTTAGAAATATAAATGCTTACACTCGAAAATAGAAAAAGAAAATCAGTATTACTTGAACACAGGAATGGAGAGTAAATCAGATGAAGAGCAAACTCAGTAAGTACACAAGTGTACTGCCTAACTCTCCCATGTAAACGTTTATCATTCTCCAACTTTCAAGCAGTTGGAATGACCATATTCTCAGTGGAATATCCGAAGTGTTCTGTGTTTTGAGAGGCATTCCCAAAAGATTCAGTGTCCACAAACAAGACTACTTACTGGCACGTTTTGGCATTTCATGTAATGGCCAGGAGGGGGCGGAGGAGGAAATGGTTCCTGTGGGGGGAGGTTAGTAAACTTGCTGATGTCATTGTAATATTCAGGGTCATCACCCCATGCAGACTCTTCCTCACCAAAGATCGGCTCCGCC